CCGGGACCCCCTCCCGTGGGCGTGCCGGCGGGGCCCTGACCGCGCCTCTCCCCGCAGGGGAGACCATCCAGGGCCTGCGGAGCAGCCTGCGGGCCGCCATCGACACCCTGTGTCGGGGGGACTCCTCGGTGGCCGTCTCCTCGGCCGGGGAGCTCTTCCTGCGCTTCATCAGCCTCACCTCCCTGGAGTACTCGGTAAGGGCGGCCGGCCCCTGCCCGGCGCGCTGCCCGCTGAGGGAACCGCCTCCATCTCAACGTGAGGAAAAACTTCCTATGAGGGTGCCCGAGCCTGGAGCAGGCTGCCCAGGGAGGTTGTGGGGTCCTCTTCTCTGCAGTGATATCAAACCTGCCTGGGTGCCATCCTGGGCAGCCTGCTCTGGGTGACCCTGCTGAGGCAGGAGGGTTGGACAGGATGATCTCCAGCTGTCCCCTCCAACCCCCACTGGGCTGGGATTCCATGACCATCCAGCCTTGTGCCTGACATCACTGTGTTTTCCAGGACTACTCCAAGTGCAAAGAAATCATGATTGAGCGTGGGGAGATCTTCCTGAGGAAAGTCTCTCTCTCGAGGAACAAAATTGCTAAGCTGTGTCATCCTTTCATCAGAGATGGTGCTGTAAGTAGGCTGAGGCAGGGTCACAGTAACAGAAGAGCAGAAGGGACTGGGAGTGATGTTTGTTAGCTTTAGAAACAGCATTGTCTGATGGTGGCTTCTGCAAGTACATAGGTGGGATACCACCCATTACTTCAGTTTTTTTATGTCTCCTCTATCCCCCCTTCAGTGTCCATGCAATCCCACTTTAACTTGTGGTCTGCTTCTAAGAGGTACTGAGGAGTCACAGCTTCAAGTTTCCATTTTAAATACTACATCATCACCTCTTGGCTGCATCTGGCCACAAAGCCCAGCTCACAGGGTGGTCTGCTCTCCTGTGGCTTGTAGAACACAAGTGATGTACGTTATTATTTAATGCTGATGGACAGTTGTGTGGAAAAAAAGCTGTGACACCATTAACAAAAGTAAAGGTTTCCCAGAGCTCAAGAAAAGATTATGTCTGATTATTTTTCTTTCTTTTGACAGCGAATATTGACACATGCCTACTCCAGAGTGGTGCTCAGAGTGTTAGAAGCAGCTATTGAGTCAAAGAAGAGATTCAGCGTTTATATTACTGAGTCACAGCCAGATCAAGCAGGGCAAGTACTCATTAACTTGTGTTTTATCTTGGCTAACAGGGTACACTAGCATCAAAGCTGCCATACCTTAAGAAAAGCCGTTGGGCTTGTTTGCAGCATTTTAAACAGTAACCATCACTGACAGTATCACATTGTTCTGAGCAAGTGGAAAAAAAATACTGGCAAGTAATTTCACATAGTAAATATTCTAATTACTGAAACAATTTCTAGCCACAGAAATAACTTCTAGCAGTGCACCCCATGCTTTATTGCTTGTTTCTTACACCCTCTTTGTTGATGGACAATCTGAGACAGTTTAGGTAGTCTGGCATCTTTGCAGGAGTTCACTGACTCATCTTTCTGTAGCTGCAGTTCCTGACTGATAAAAAGCTACTTTTGTTGGGTTTGTTGTGTTGTGCTTCCATTTCTACACAAAAACTTATTTTCTGTTGGAGGGTACATCATAAACCAAAACTACAGGCAAGGGGCAGTGATGAGTTTCAGTCTTCCAGACAGTATTTTTCTAGCATTGTCTTGAAAGAAAAGTATTTTAAGCCTCAAATATGTTTATTTGTTGTTTGTTTTTTTTTAATAGGCAAAAAATGGCAAAAGCCCTGAGGAAGCTGAACATTCCTGTGACTGTGATTCTGGATGCTGCTGTTGGGTAAGTCTGATCGTTAAAGCTTCATAAGTGTTCTTCACAATTTAATTTTCATTTTGTTCTATGCAAGTTTCCCAGAAGCTTGTTCAAGCTGTAGAGGTTGTTACTTAGTCATAGTCATCAAACAAGCAAAACAAGTCACAAGTGTAGGTGCATAATGAGGAGAGAATGCCTGCTGCAAAAGTGTGTGATGTTTGTGTGTTTGAATGAGAAAAAGAGTCAGAACAAAGTGTAAAACTTGGGGATAGCTGTAAAAAAAACTGAGGGGCTATGCAAAAAGGCTTTTTCCTCATTTGCATCCATGTTATCATTTTGGGGTTTCTTACACTATTTGCTAAATTACCCATTGCTTAGTGTAAGTCCAAAACATGAGAAAAGAAAGAACTGCACTGCACCTGAACCTGGGTTCTTGCCAAAGTGCCCAGTGCCCCAGAGCCTGTCCAGGAGAACGGGCACCGGCCTGGTGCCATGGTCTGCAAGGCACCTCTCTGGAGGGAAGAGAGGGGCTCCAGTGGACAGCTCTGCATGTTCTGTTTAACACCTTACGTCTATTGAGTCACATAGTTGGTGGTTTTCTTTTTAGACCTGTATTTTCAATTAAAACAGTGATGTAAAGCAAGGGGAAGTGGACAGGAGCATCCTGTGTGTCTGGCCAAGGTCACCACGATGGGGTTACGCTTCACTGTGTAGTTAGTATCCTACCACAGACACCCATCTTCCTGTAACCCAGGACCATTCCTAGTCCAATTCCAGCTTCTCCCAGCATTTATACAATGGCTGAGGTCAGCCAGGGCTGGAGAAGATGCAGCTACTCAATACCCCTGCCAGGGAAGCAGATGAAGGCTCACTCCAGGGATGTGTAATAGCATGTGGACTTACATAGTTACTTACATAGTCCATAACTAGCTCAGAAAAGTGAAAGACTGTTTGAATCACTAATTTCTGTTCTGTTCAGCGAGTTATGTGTCATATTACTCAGTAAGACATGGATTTTTTTCCCCCTTTGAACAGCTACATTATGGAGAAAGTGGACCTGGTGCTAGTTGGTGCTGAAGGTGTAGTTGAAAGCGGAGGCATTATTAACAAGGTAATAAGTAGTGAGTTTACTACATTCTGTCACCTCTAGACTTTTAAAGCTTAGTTTCTTTGAAAAATTCAAGGCTTTCTGAAAAATCTTTTCTATTTGGATGTTACCCAGTAAATTTCTATTTATTGTTGGAATCTGGGCAATATTATGTCACGCTAGCTCTGAGCCTGAATGTTGTTTTCCATCTGTCTCCACAGATTGGCACTAATCAAATTGCTGTGTGTGCCAAAGCTCAGAATAAGCCATTTTATGTGGTAGCAGAAAGTTTCAAGTTTGTAAGACTTTTCCCTCTAAATCAGCGGGACGTTCCAGATAAGTTTAAGGTAAGAGAAATTCAATTACTTCTTTTACAGTAAGGTGCAGAGTTACATGTCTCTGAAAAATTTTTGTCTAAGCACATCTTCATTATCTTGCTCTGTTAGAGTTGTCAAGAGTTGTTCTATGTTACAGTTATAGGCAATCCAGCCACACTAATACAGACATTTCATGCTTAAAGTGGTTCCTTTGGGGCACAGGAGCACATGAGGGCAAGAAACAGTTAAAACAGTGCACTTCAGAACTACAAATTGTATTTTACACACAAGATAAAGCAGCTGAGACCAAGGTGGCACCAGCCTGTGCTCTGTTTTGAAGGGACTTCCTTCCTTCAGTTTTACCACAACCATCTGCTTGCCACTATGGAGCCACCCTTGCCCAAAAGGGTCTCTAATTTGCAGTTGTGCAGTTAGTGATGTCTCCATTTCCTCCTAGTACAAAGCAGACACCCTGAAAACAAGTCAGAACCTCACAGAAGAGCACCCCTGGATTGACTACACGCTGCCATCGCTGATCACGTTGCTGTTCACAGACCTCGGTGTCTTAACTCCATCCGCCGTCAGCGATGAGCTCATTAAACTCTACCTGTAACAGGGGACTCGGGGGCAGGGTCTGTCATCTGCAGGGGCTGGCACAGTCTGAAGAACTTGGAAGATGATATGGACATGATAAGGAGACCATGTTGTAAGGATTCATGTAATTATTTGCCTTCTTGAGGTTTTAAAGCAAAACGTTACACGTGGGTGGACCACTGTTCAAAAAACTCACAAGTTACTACAGCTTCTAAAGACCTAAAATAAATTATTTTAAAGATGGGTGGAGTATTTTGATATTGTAAAATAAAGTACCTTACAGTGTATTCAAACTCATTCAGAGCTACACTGTTACTGGTCTGTGGCACATACCTGAAGAAAACAAGATGAGAGCAGGCCCAAGGCTGGCAATGGAACCCTGCAGCTTGGTTCCTCACCACAGGCTTGCCTGCATCCCTCTATGGACACCACCTATCTTGATTAGGAAAGGAAATAAATTCTGTTCTCTGCATCATTATTTTGTTATGAAGATAACAGTTTTATTGAAATAGGCAGTATTTTAAGATTAAAGCATGGTTAGAGTAACTGTCAACCTTCAGACTCTAAGTCAGCAACAGTTTCTGTTTTGAGTCTGTTCTGGCTGCCTGTTAGTCTCTTCTCAAACTCTTCTTCACTAATTTTTCCTTTTTTTAATTTCTTCAAGAGTCTGGTGTCATTCAGCAGCTCTTCCATATCCTCGTCTTCAATATCGGAGCCCTGGTGGCAATCAAAAAACAACAAATCAAACACAACACCAAAAAGTTTTCCTTCTATACAGCTGAACACAAGTTTACAACTCAGATTTTGCCAGGAGTATCCAACAGGAAAAAATATTCCATTTCTACCTAGGAAACTAAAATAAAAATAAATAAATCTGTCCCAAGTACTGCCCACCATCCTGCCATACTGCTGGACCTCCAGGAAATAAAATCTCTGCTGCCTGTGCTGGCAGCATGACTGACCAGTATCAGAGTGCTGAGAAGTTCTTTTAGTGTTTGGCTTTAAAAAAGCTGCTCTAAATTTTTTTAAGGACCCAGGAAGTTCCTTTACAATCAGTCCCATGGCTCTGCCATTTGCAAGTGTGCACCTCTGTTCCAGTGTAAGAGAACAGCCACAATTTACCTCCTCACGCCTCCTTTTAGCTGTAACTTTCTTCTTCTTCTCCCTCTTGGCTTTCTGCTTTGACCAGGCCTTGTTCTTTATAAATTTCTTTTTCCCTCCATTTTCCTCTCTTTCTTTTCTTTGTTGTTCTAATTGCTTTTGTCTCTGTTTTTCTCTGTTTTTATCCTTAAATGAAATGGAGTCTGTATTAACGGTGACTGGAGTAAAGTCCGGAAAACTTTTTCCTCTTAGTTCAGGCATCTTTGGCATTTTTAACAATGCAAAACCTTTGGCAAGACTAGCAAAATCCAGATCTGTTAAAATAAAGATTTTAAAGTCAGTTTCCTGCTGGGTAAAAGGTTAATTTAACTTAGCAAGTCACAGAAAAAA